TCCAGGTCTACAATTTTATATCCCTTTTAACTGTATCACTGTTGTTGTTAGGGACACTGTTAGGAAGCACATTTACTTACCCTAACTTTTGCCTTAAATATCTTCACTGAGTTAAATTCACAAAGAGTTAAATTAACTTCAAAGTATTTTTGCATGCAGTTGCTGGACATCTTTAGTTACTCTCCTGAAAATTTGAATGCACTTAATAAACGACATCAATTTGACAAAAATTTGAAATACCTACATCTGAAGTGAACAATCCAATCCAGTGAGCGTAACCCACTCGATTTATCATTACGGTAAGGAAAGCTTGGTGGTAGTAGTCTGCAATGCTGACCAATTCAGCCCCAATTTTTTTGCACATTTGTGAAGCCATGTACCAAGTCATACTGCCATTGATCAATGTATATGTCCTATTTGCATATTCTAAAGTATCCGGGATTGGGTACATCACCGAAGGAGCAATGATATGTCTAGAAGTATCTGTGATAGAGAAGATCAAGAGTCATTTGAATTTTTTTTTTAAAAAGCTCAACATTAAGACACTGAACGTTTTCAAACAAGCTATAGTGGGTAAAATGAGGACCCAAATTGTTGGGGGCAATATGCTGACTCTGTAAACAGCTTAGAGAGGGCTGTAAAGCATTGTAAAGCGGTATGTAAGTTTAAGTGCTATTACTATTGCTATAGCCATCTCTGAAAGAAATATATAAGTGACAAATATTGCAAGCTATTAGAGTTGTGAGAGGGAAGGCGGCCTGAGATTACCTAGCACCTGGGTTGATGGTACCTGCCCCTTTAAGACCTCCCCCAGGCCAGACAAGCTGCTTAGCAAAGAGCTGCTATAAAACCCCTGCAGCAAAGCAGCTGGGTGTGTTGTGTTGGTTGTGGTCACTGATGTGCTAGTTTTGGAGGGTGCAGAAGGGCTCCGGGAATGAGGAGGGTTGTGGATTTTTAATCCAAATAGGAAACTGGAAGCAACCTAAGGGAAAAGGAGAATTGGAGAAGCTCACTCCTAATAATAAAACAGCTTCTTGGATGAGAAATGGATATTCCCAGGAGACCTAGGAAGGGGATGGAATCAAACTGGGATTACCACCCAAGGATTTGCCGGTGTCTGATACCTGGGTGGCTAAGAGCAGTGTTGGCGCAGTGGTTAGAATGCAGTATTGCAGGCTAATTCTGCTGACTGCCAGCAGTTTGGCAGTTCGAGTTTCATCAGCTCCAAATTGACAGCCTTCCATCCTTTCCAAGGTCGGTAAAATGAAGACACAGATGGTTCGGGGAAATATGCTCTGTAAACTGCTTAGAGAGGACTGCAAAGGACTGTGAAGTGGTATATAAGTTGAAGTGTTATTATTATTGCTAAAACAAGGCCAAGGAGTGGGACATTTAGAGTTTGTGGAGCCCACTGAACTGCTATTGAAAAAAGAACTCTGTGACAAGAGTGTAGATAAAAAATAAGCCAAGTGGTAGATTAATACTATTCCTTGTCAACCTCCCCCAAACCAGTATTTTCCACATGTGCTGAATAATCCTTGCAACAAAAGAAGCTTGTGGAAGAGTGCCCTTGCTTACCTGTGCTCTGTACTGCCTGCCCCCCCTGTAAGCCTGCCCATGCTCAATTGCACCTGGTTGTGACTCCTGTCAGCCGGCCTGGCTCAGTAGTGCCTGTATGAGGCAATCACCCACCCACCTGCAGTTCTCACCTGTTGGCCTGCTTGCCTAGGAGTCTAGTCACATGAGATCCTCTCTTAATGACCTGTGAAGTGTCTGGGTTACAATGCCAATTGAGACAGCTGAGTTTGCTAGCGCTATGTGATGCAATGTGGCACCATGCTATATGACCACATCACTTAGCAATGGAAATTCTAGTTTTAATTGCTATTATAACCTGATGACTATCTGAACTTTGAAAATTACCCTACCTATAAAGCAGGAATACCACCAAATCACCTAGAAGGGTACTCAAATTTAAGTACCTGCTATATTCACTGTTCCCTTATCTTTAATCTGTAAAAAAAATTCCTATAAACAGTTTTGGTAAGCATTCTTATTTGCAGAAAGATGTCATAATTCTTTTAGTTTTTCTGTACCCTTTTGTCCCATTTTCATTCTTGTCATCGGGTAGAATAATTTCTTCCCCAACACCACAGTCATTCAGAATTTTGTATAGTATAATTTTTCCCAAAATTGCTTCATCGATTATCACCATTTGCCAAAGTCTAACACTGAACAGTTGCCAATCATGGTGTAAGAGTATATGTTGAACTAGCAGCTACAATCATAAATAAAAGCCCTATCCCTGAAGTAGATATCTTCCATCCTATCTATAAGGGGAATCCCTCTGCACATACACCTATACAAAGCATCCGACATTGAAATAGAAGCATTCACTTTCTTAAAGTAGATCTTTTGTGAATTGGAACTCTGTGCAGCTTTAGATCAGTGTCTCTCACTGGGAACTTCAATTCCCAGAATTCCTCAGCCAGCCTGGATGGTTGGGGTATTCTGAGAGTTGAGGTCTACCCATCCTGGATGGTTGGGGTATTCTGAGAGTTGAGGTCTACCCATCATAAAGTTGTCAAGGCTGAGAAACACTATTTTAACTCATGGATAATTGCTGGATGGATCATTTAGGTCAGGGGTGTCAAATTCAAGGCCCAGGGGCCAGATCCGGCCAATGGGGTGCTTAGATCTGGCCCATGGAACCACCCTGGAAACAGCGAAAGACAGGCCTATGGTGCCTCTGCCAGCAAAAACAGAGCTGTTGCAGGAGGTCATTGCAGCCGAAAATGGAGTTCAAGAGCCCGTTTCTATTGGCAAAGCACTTGGGCCACCACACATGCCCCCGACATGAGTGATGTCGAACTGGCCACGCCTACCCTGGCCCCCTGAGGTCAAACACAACCCTGATGTGGCCCTCAATGAAATCGAGTTTGACACCCCTGATTTAGGTAGTAGACTTCATACAATGTATGAAAGATATTAGTGAATTAGATTATAAAGCTTAGCACATTCTTATATAAATAAGGTTATAACAATTTACCTTGAGCTTTCTGGCAGACAAACCCATTTTTGTTCTCACAGTTTTCAAGATACCACTTTCCCATTAAACTGAAACTTGGATTATTTAGTATTGAAGTACATAGGACAACTTTTTTTTCAGTACCAGCAATGTAATGATTCTGAAATTAATATATTGTGATAGAAATCAGTGGGAAAAGCCACAGACAGACTTTTTTTTTTTTAAAAAAAAAACAGAACCGATAATCAGAGTATACATAAAAGAAAAATGGGAAATGCCACAAAACACTGAACTACAGCTTTTTTCATTTCCTCTCCTCTTAAGCTTTTTGGTCCCACAGTTCACTGCCTTTAAAACAATCAACACGCAGTGTTATTAGCTGCACTGCCCTTTCTCATTAGAATTTTCTGTGTTCTGCAGTAGATTTAGGATTTTTTTAAAAATCTCAGTAAAACACATTGCAATATTTTAGCATAGGAAAGTGATAAAGAGTAAATAACACAGATAAATATTCTTATTGTTGACTTTATGCAAATGATTAATGTATTTTCTTTGTTATTAGAAGCACTTGATAGATATGTTAAAAGATAGGAAATATTTAATTACGTGACCACCAGAGGTTCACCTATAAAAATTTCCAATCAAATGTGGTTTTTTTGAGAGAGAAAGATACAATTTGCAACAATATTTTTCTTGAGGTTTTCAAGCTCTTCTCAAGATGATCTTAGTTGAACCAAGACTATACATTACATGTAATTTCCTTTCACTGAAACAATTTATGTTTGAACATTGAATAGGAGAGCTATCAAAGAACATCACTTTATTACTGAATTCATTAAATAATCTTTAGAAAGCAAAATCCATCAACAAGATTCCATAATTCTCGCTTCGATTTTCTTCTTTCTTCAACATTTGCTTATATTACAACAGGGTTACCAGATTCACTGATATTATGAAGATTTTTGTCCTTTTCATAGTGCTATCCCAATTCAAATGGAGGAGGCTTATTTTCCTATCTTATTGATAGTTCAGCATTCTATGGCTGTGCAAAGCATTTCAAATATGTACTCCATAAAACTCTTTACACTGGATAAAGTATGTCTCATAGAAGCTTTCAAGGAGCTACATCATCTCTGAGACTCATACAGCTGCTTTGAAAGGTGCTCCCATCTTTCTCTGCAAGCCCAGTAATTTCATCTGATTGATGTGCTGTGCATGCACAGACGGGGCATCTTTTGAAGTAGCCCTGTGAATTTTGCAAATGACGTAATTGCTTTAATACTTTGGAGATGCTTTATTTACACTAATATGCAAAGCACAAGAGGTAGCTATTGGATATGATACATACTGGATAAATCAAACACCTTTAGAATATTGGTTAGACTGGGAATTAGTAAACAAATCCCAGAAGGGGGCAGACTATTTCCACAACACTTACAGCAAATGACCTTGATTCAAGAGCATTTTTATCTTTACTATTTTAATGGACTCTTGGTTATTCCTGATTAATATCTTCTTCAAGAAAGAGCTTTCTGTTTTCATGTTTTCTCTAGCCTTCCCCTTCCTCCTTCTATCTAACTAGGAAATACGTTCATTATAAACACAATATAGAATACAAAAAAGGTACAAAAAAATAAGACTGCATTGCCTTACTTGTGCTGGAGACCAGTTGGCAAATTCCGCTTCTTGTCCATTGAGCCATTTTTCATAATTATGGTTCTGCAGGCCAATCCAGACATTAGATTTATGTCCAAATAGGTTCATTGCAATGAAAGCTAGAAAAAAACAAACCTAGAATTCAGAAACTTAAGATCTGCTAAATTATTATTTTCAAATTAATAGTGATTGAAATTAAATGAATTAGATGAAATGTAAGAAATGCAGGCTGATTCAACCTTTGGGGAATTCGAAAGTATAATGACTTTTTATCAGTCTAAAATGTCAGTTATTAAAGTCTCCTTCAGTTAGAACTGCCATTCCTAACTGCTAAGAAAGAACCTTAAACAAACATGCCTATATATATATATTCTCTTTGAAGGTAAGCAGTATTATGCAAAGCAGAATATACTATATATAATAGCTAATGTAATTTGATCCTCATTTATTCTCTTTACATGACTAAACCATCTCAAATGAAGATTTTTACATTATTTCATGTACTATTTTCATATCACTTTCATACTCCTTATCTCTTAGTGTTTTATTTTGACACTGACTGCAAAGTTCTTAAAGAATTCTATTGAAATGCCACTATGCTTTCCAAATTAGAGAAGAAAATAGGTATCAAGCTTGAGATCCGAGGAAGTGAGTTTAAATACAAAGAGATAGGAATTTATCCAAAGTTAAATAACCCTATAAAATGCAAATATACATGTGTTTTATAGCATTACTTACTTCTGCCATAGTTAAAAGCAATTTATAGCTGAAATGTAATACTTTGGTTTTGTCTAAATGTTGAACAGTGATATTTTGCAGCCAATTGCAAGTAGTAAAGTTATTTTTTTCTGATCGAAAATTATATCTAGTCTTCTATCAAGGATGATAAATATTCAATTGCAAGATATAAATTCAAAACCTTATTATGTTTACGATCCAGAGCCTTAAATATACATAGATAACAGGGGAGGTCCTACTAATAAAATATGCAATATATGTCTGTAAGAAGTGTATAGTTATAACATTTTGATAAATGTGTAACCAGGGGTGGAATTCAAAATTTTTAACAACCGGTTCTGTGGGCGTGGCTTAGGTGGCAGACGTGGCTTGGTGGTCATGTGACTGTGTGGACATGCCTTGGTGGTCATATTATTGGCTGGGTGTGGCCAACTCAATATCACTTACATCGAGGCACGCATCTCCTCGCCTGGCCTCTCATGACTGTGGGGATGCTGCAACAGTCGTAAGTGTGAAAAATGGTCATAAGTCACTTTTTTCAGTGCCATTGTAACTTTGAATGGTCACTCCACACAAGCAAAGTACCAGCAAAGAAGGGGAAAAAAACTCCAGAGAAGTTCCTGAGACAGGAAGTCTATTCCTGCCAAGAATGTAATAAGGGTTAACGGAGAGGCAGTTTCTGTAAGCAACACCAGAATGTTTCCTTCCTGCTTTCCTTACAGGATTAGGCCAGTAATTTCTTCTAACAACCGGTTCTCCGAACTGCTTAGAATGTTAACAACTGGTTCTAGCAAATAGGTGCAAACTGGTGGAATCCCACCCCTGGGTGTAACACATCGTGTGGTACCTTGTTCAACTTCATTTTCAACTGATACAAGTGATGCATCATAGTAGCTGCAGGTTTTTTGAGCAGAATACCAACTTTTTAAGTGAGCTGGATCCTTTGGAATCTGCACCAGGAAACACTGTTTACAGAAAGAAAGATTGAATTGGGTATTTAGGATAGCCATGAGTCACTCAAACAAAATTGTATTTGCAAGACTAGATAGGGGTAGGTTTGGAAAGAATGAAGAAGCTGAGTTAAAAGAAGTGACAGACCAAGCTTCTTGTTTAGCCCATTAATTGGAAAAGAGAAAAGGAAACATAAACTACAATATATAAATAGAACGGCAATTGAGAACACTCAGGAAGAGAATCAGATTTTTTTTTAAAGGCAGTTTTCTAGTGAAACATCAGATGGACACTGATTGATGGGGACAAGAGAATCAAATTGGGCTCCTGGGAGACTGTAGTACAGATAGTCCTCAACTTACAACAGTTCATTTAGTGACCAAAGTTACAACAGCACTGAAAAAAGTGACTTATAACCATTTTACACACTTATGACTGCTGCAGCATTCCTGTGGTCACGTGATCGAAATTAAGATGCTTGGCAACTGACTCATATTTATGATGGTTGCAATGTCCTGGCTCATGTGATCCCCTTTTGTGGCCTTCTGACAAGCAAGGTCAATGGGGAAGCAAGATTCATTTAACAAACGGGTTACTAATTTAACAACTGCAGTGTTTCATTTAACAACTGTGGCAAGAAACATTGCAAAATGGAGCAAAACTCACTTAACAAAATGTCTCACTTAGCAACAAAATTTTTCGGTTCAATTGTGCTCGTAGGTCAAGGACTACCTGTAATCTTGAATTATCACTTTAGAATGAAGTAAATAATTTATTAAATTATTACATATATTTAATAATTTAAATACATACATAAAAGTAAAGACATGTGCTTTTAGGTGGGTTTGTTTTTTTTAAAATTAGCAATCCATTTTTGGCCAACATACCACACTTAGGTTTAAGGTTAAGGTTAAAAACTCTAGAAGGTTTTTTTTTAAACCAGCAAATACCTTGAATCCAAAGTACAGCCATCCTTTAGGACATGTTCCTTGATATTCTTCTTTCAAAATTTCTCTCTCAGTAATTTGTACATTTTTACGCTTGCAGACACAAGGTAGAGAAGTGGTACAATTTGCAAAGCCCCATTGTCCTAAAAGAATGCAATAACATTGTAAAATTAAAGTTAAGTATATTTCCAATATAGTTAAATATCTTATAAGCTATATGAGAAGTATATTCCTATCAGGACTGCCTCAAGTGTAATTATCCATACTCCCATAGCAGTGGAAATGTAAGAGAACTTTTTCAATATTTATTTATATTAATATACAGGTCGTCCTTGGGTAATGAGGGCAATTGCGACCGAGATGGTTGTCGCTAAGCAATGCAACTGGAAAAGCCGGACATCACATGACCATGGGAGAGGAGATGGTGCTACAGTGGCAGTGTGAGCGCAGGCAGGCCAGGAAAAGGAGGACCAGTATGAGTTCAAGGAAGGCTGGGAAACAGCAATATAAGAAGTCCTAACTTTTACAAAAAGATTATACGGAACAAAAAGAACTGAATAGGAAGCAAGCACACTGCAAATCAAAGCAGAGATCCTCAGCATCACATCTATTTTAAGGAACATTTTTGGGCCATCCAAGGCTTCCACGAAGGTGTGTGTGTGTGTGTGTGTGTGAGAGAGAGAGAGAGAGAGAGAGAGAGAGAGAGAGAGAGAGAGGGAGGGAGGGGGGGGAGGGGGGGGGGGGGGGGGGGGGGAGAGAGAGAGAGAGAGAGAGAGAGAGAGAGAGCAGATCAGAAGAACTAATTGGCTTTGACCGGCATTGGATGATATTCCCACAATATTTCCTTAAAAGTTCAAATATGCTTCCAGCAAAAACCATTTCATATAGAGAATACTACTTGCATTACTTCCTGGGTTCTTCCTGCTGTACAAAATAAAAAGCAATCAATGTTTTTTAATCAAATCATTTCCAATATGATTTGTGGGAAATGAATGATGAGCAACCCTAACCCCAGGCTAATTCGATTGGAACGCCCTTAAATTTACTTTGCAGAGATCCTCCAAGGCAGTTTTGGATGATGCCCAAGAAAAACACAAGAAAGAAAAGGGATGTGTATCATTCAGAGTGTAGGCAATATTATTCCAAGGAAATAATTTCTCATGCCATGCTCAGTACTATAAAAGGCAATAAGATATTCTTGTTGAAATCATGTTTAGAGCATTAAATCTGCATAGTATTCAAAGACTTCCAGCAGCCACTATATAAGTATTTATTGTGGTACAAATACACATGAACACACGATAAACAATAACTTTTGTTAACGGGTAGGGATCAGGATGATAAATGACACCCTTGTGTTAAAAACAAAGAATGAAGACACATCTCCACTGAAGAAAAAAAGGCCACAGATTGAAATGTACACATTATAAAGCTATCTCAGTATTGAATATTAGAAAAAAAAAATCTACAAATCAATATTCTCAATTTAAAAAATTGCACAATCTGGGAATACTTTTCATGATAACTTCAATTAAATATTTATGTAAATGTATATTAACATGAAATTCTGCCATTATGAATTAAAAATAACCATAATCTAAAAATGGTGTACCAAATTTGGAGTGACAATATAACTCCATGATGGGCTCACTCAACAATCATCATCATCATCATCTTTTAACGACCCCATAATCCCTTGTTGGGTGGAGTCTGGGCAACTGAATGGAGTTAGCAGAGGGTTTAATGGCCGGATGCCCTTCCTGTCGCCAATGCGGTGTTTTGTTCAGCAGATATATTCTCAGTGTGCTCAGAGAGAGAAATATCTGCCTCTAACTAGGATCGAACTCACAGCCTCCTGATTGTGAGGCAAGAGCTCCATCTCTAGGCCACTGCTCAACCAACAGGGCTTACCCAACAATTTCTAGTACAAACGAGGTTTTCAGTGTCTTTCAAACATTGCAGTAGTTAGCAAAATTCTTATCTATGGCAATAGGCAAAGATGATTCGGAATAAAATAACATAATTATGGAACCTCACCAAATGTTTCATATAATAATTTGAACTAATAAGAACCACATACAACATGTACCTGTCTGAGAAGAAATAAAAGCACATTTTTGTCCTTGAGTTCGCTTTGGTCTGTCTTTATCTCCTGCCCAGTTCTGATACAATAACGGTGATCCATCTGTCCATCTGTAAACAAAATTTAGATTGTGTTTAGTTATTAGAAATGGCTTTTGAAGTTAAGATCACATGAGGCAAGCACACGGCTAGAGCTAAATTTCAGATCACTGTTTTACTATTCCGATAGGAAAACCAGATCAGATATGTGACCACTGTCCCGTGTTGGGTTCTGGATGACCTGGAACATGGCTGTCATGCAGGTGATGAATTGCCTAAGCAGAGGGTTGGACTAGAAGACCTCCAAGGTCCCTTCCAACTCTGTTGTTCTATTCTATTCTAACTCCTACACTATGTCAGACATTGCTCCCAAAGGAAAGCAGGCTGAAATCCTCCAAGACCATAGGTCCTTCCCATTTGGGGAAGAACTTATCTAATTTGTGTTTCTCATTCCTAAATACACCTGAAACAAAATTAAAAGCTAAAATCTACATTTTCCTGAGTTTTGCTAAGTAGTTTTCAATTCAAAACTGTAGTAAATATGTATGTTTTAGTTGAAGTAGTGAAAAAATTAATCAGTTAGGAAAAGTACTTTAAAAATGCATTGCAATGAAAAAAGTGATCGTAAAACTAGAGAAAAATTAGTACAAATACACTGAGAATTTTCAAGTTTTTTTAAAAACTACCATACTTATATAAAGGAATTTAAAACATATTTAAAACATTTCAGAAACTGAGATCCATTCATTTGTAATGCCTGGATAGGAGATTTTCTGAAAGAATCTTATACATACCACTTGTGTTTCATTTAACACAAGAAATGCATAAATACAATAAATATTTAGCAACAGCAAGTATTTCTTTATTTGGAGTTTTTCATTAATAGTACATTTAGCATTAATGTCTGGCTATTTTATCAGGACTGCAATCCCGTATGCAGTTCTTGGGAGTTAGCACCACTAAGTTATTAAGGAATTTAAAAATCTTTGTGCACTCGAAAAGGATAAGTAAATGAATGAAACAGGGGCAACAGAGCAATCATGATTATTATTTACAAATTCCATTGCAGTATATTCTATCTATAGTATTGTTAAATTTTCTGAACCTGAATTTCACTGCATCTATTTCTATACATTTTACAATGGAAGAACACTGAGAAATCCACCAAATTCACCAAAAGGAAATCTGGTTTAGAACCCTTTTGTTTGCCAGAAAGAAAGGGTAAGAAAAATATGCCATCTTCTTCTATATTATAAATACAGCTGCCTAGGATATAGTTGCATTTGGGCCCAGGTTTGCTGCTTTTATAATAAAATAATATAATAAAATAAAATAAAATTTTCTAAGAGAAAATAAAATGTATATGACAATCTTACTGAAATTCTTCACTGGGTATTTCTGAACGCAATGCAATCCACCAATTGCTACTTTTTTTTGAAATCTGCAAAATATTGACATTGAAGAAATATTACATAGATTTACTATTTGGCATGTATCCTTTAACTGGTTCGTGTGTTGTATACGTTGATTAATGTTTAGACAAGAATGGTAAAAATAATTGAAAAACAACAAAACATTATAAATTACTGACATCAAAATATGTCCACTCGAAATATATTCTACTGAATTCAGTACAGATTCTTTCCATCAGAATAATTAAAGCTAAAATATAAAGTGTGTGTTAGATCGACACACACATGAGATCATCATATCTAATACATAATTCACCATTCACTTCATACAATTACATATTGATATGACATCTGTGGATGGTAATTTGGAAGTAGTATGATTTGTATGGTTACTGGTTTTTTTATTAATATTTATGGATAATTCCAATTAACTTGCTTTTAACTTTTTGCTAGCTGCCAAAAGTCCTTCAGGAATGGAGCAGATTATAAATAATATTAGGTAGCTAAATAGAAGAAATAACATATTCAATAGTTCTTATTGCATAATAATTACATGGAAGTAATTTATAAGTACACAATAGTACTCAGAGTTGCAACAAATATTACATGTTGAACAAAAACACAGATAATTGAAACTAAGTTAAATTACCTAAAAACACATGGGGCAGTTATCTTCAGATAAACATGGTTTATTGCTAGAAACAATATTTAAAAGAATGTATCTTTTCTTTTATGTATACTGAGAGTATTTTCACCAAGACAAATTCCTTGTGTGTCCAACACTTGGCCAATAAACTATTCTATTCTATTCTATTCTATTCTATTCTATTCTATTCTATTCT